ACTGCAGTATCTGCAATTCGATTTACATACAATCGTAGTTCTGTGACGTAAGTTCCATTTCATTGCGCTCCATCATTGCCCGCAACCCAACCCGATTTCCACCCTCATGCCCATGTCCGGCGTTCTTTGCTTTAATACTCCAGTGACACAAAGAAAACACTGTTAAAGATCCTTGTTTGTTAGTAGGAAGGAAGTTGATTGTTCTGAGGTTAAAAAAAAAGTCTGTGTTGAAATAAAAGTGAGTGTCACTTGTCATCTCTTCTATCTACGGTGGTGGGGCCGTGGGGATCGGGACGGGGAGGTGGGAAATAGTCATGAGGAACCCTGAATCGTCGTCAGCGAGAGAGGACAATTATTTTGTCGGTTGAGGTGCCTATTCTTAAAACTTGCTCACCTGAGCCCCCAAAATAACTGCACCAAAGCCGTTTTGTCTATAGGCAATCTGCTAAAGATAAAAGGATACCGTAATGTACACCTAATCGAGTGGTGAATATTTTTATTTTCATAACATTTGAAGAATAATAGTATGCAATTTAATGGAGTTTGTTGTAAAAAGCTTGCCTTCAAATACAGGGATAACTCTCCACTCCCTATAATGAAAAGTATTGTTTGTAGCCAATGCCGTAGCCAGCTATTGGGCCAGTTGGGACAATTCCACACAATTTTTCTAATGGGTCCACATTTCTTAAAATATGTCTAAATTATGCAATTTCATGCAAAAAAATGGGTCCACTTTTTGAAAAGTGGGTCCAGATTTCTCATATATAGCCTAAAATGGGTAAAATTTAAGAAAATGTGCGTAAAATGTGTGCACATTGTTTAAATTTACGCGTAAAGTGGGTCCACCCTGATATTGTCCCGCACGGTTTGAAAATCCTGGCTACGGCATTGTTTTTACCATAAAAGATTGGGGGTGTTCAATTAAACAGCATTAATCTTTACTCTTGTCAACCAAAGGGGGATAGTTTAGGTGCGTATATTCGTGCTATATAATAATTATTGCGTTGCTTGAGGTTTTTTGTTGAGAAAATCAAGGAGGTCACTCCAGGTACCATGTGCCTTAAGAACACTAGGTCCTAGTTTATTTTTAGTAGAGGTCTCGTGATCTTTCTGCTCAATAAATACCAAAACTCACTGAATCGTATGGAATGTGGTTGAAACAGAATCTTTTTCTGTATTGTTTGAGTTCGACGAAACGAAACCAGGCATTCCCAGTTGTTTACGGGAAACACCATCCCCTATGCTGGGTTAATCGCCTCTGGGCATAGTGATGGAACTCGTGACTAACCTGGTGTTATTGTTATCGAGGCAAAGAAAGAGTAGGCCTACCTCATTTGGACACAACGAATTTTTCTGCTATTTGGCTTCTTAAAATTTGGCAGTGTCTATTTTTCATAGCTTATTGTTGTTTTAAGTTATACCCAAACAAATATATACAGAATCTACCATCTTCAGCGTCAACTTCCATTTTCAAATAAATTTTGTGCAATGTTTTAATAATAAAATAATAATAAAACACCATTTAATTTTAGAACAGTATGTTTGTTTATATCATAGGCCCTATTTCATATTGTTACTGTGCAATCAGGTGCTACCTTTTTATAAATTATTTCATGTTCAATTTGCTTATAAAAACAAATTTCATTATACCAATTAAATTGTTGATGATATCCTTTCACAGGGAACAATTGTACTTAATAGACTTGACATTGGGCAAGGTGTCTAAAGATTGTCAAGCGCTTGGTTTATCAAGATCATGATCATTTTCTCTAAAGTCGGGCACTCATTGCGTCCACGACGGTCGTACAACGAGTCCAACTCCATGTGAACGCTAGACGATGCGACGCCGTCGCGTGCCCGGTTTTAGACCTAAACATCCCCAGGGGCTTCACCTGGGTATGTGTTCCTTTCATGTGCTTGTTCCAATGACATGGGGTAATAGATGTTAAGCACATACAGGTTTCTACAGTATGCGCTCTATAAGTCGACCATTATTATTATTGTATATTAAAGTGCAGGTCCAGTGCTTTTCCCTTTGCGTCCATTTTTTGGATGGCAAGTTATGTACGGTATCTCATGATGAATAAGTCTCAAAGCAGAATTTGCGTTGGTTGCTGACATCACGGACATGGGTATCGGATCCTATGTTATTGTTTTTAAGTAGCAGCCCTGTTATTCGCCTCTCGGAAGTTCTTTAAGTTTCTCAACAATTCCTCAGTTGTCGGCGGAAATCGTAGATACTTGACCCCATACCCTTTTGGAATAATGTTAATGACTGTTACATACGATATTACCGGTATCTAATGTTCTGTATCTGTAAAGCAGCCCAGGATCAGTATGAAATGGGGTGGGTCCTATAGTTGCGTGAATCCCTTTTTCTAGTGCACCATCTCAGGAAACCGTCAGAGGAATCTGGTTTCGGGAATGCCAGTGAGTTACACCTACATGGAGTACGGTACTCATATACTTACGTCAAAAACGTTTGCTTTTCGTGATTTGCTTTGAAAATTAAGAAAAATAATGGTAATATTGCGGCCGCCAACAAAAAATGGCAGGAAGGACGAGAAGGATATATAATAGGGCATAATTAAAATTTTACAAAAAATATCTCGATACACAAGGTTTATTCTCTTTCTCCTCGTTTATATCTGTCGTTCTTTTTCGCAAGCAGCGATTGAGGCATACAGAACGACTAATTTTTTCGAACGTTATGAATAAGCAAGGTCGATGTGTGAGCAAGCACAGTAAGCAAGTAGGATTTGATATCTATACTGTACTTGCACTTATTTCCACAAATACCGAACCGTTTACACCACTGTAGAGCTGTCAAACTAGGCATAGGCCTACGTTATTATCAACGTTAACATCAACATGAGATATCCACCTCTTAGCTTTCAAAGTCAAACCTCGATTGCTTAAGCCGAGAAAATAATAAAATACTCGTCATTGGTCCCTTTTGCGCAGGCGCAAGTCGTCCGTTTATTAATGCTGAACAAGGTTGTTCTGTTGTTCGGCAAACGGCAGGGAAACAAGAGGGGAGATAAATTAGACGGTAAGCTCAGTTAATGTTTTTTGAAGTAGGTTTGAGTTTATCTCCAGCTTTTTAGGGCTGTATAGGGCTGTATCTTTGAGATATTTTAGTATTTTTTCGCGATCTGCGTTGGTTGATTGTGTTTCTGTAGAAACGGTAATCAGCTGATCGATCAGCTGTTGCTGGTGGGAAAATCGTTCACCAGCATAAAAGATGATCACTGGATATCAGAACAGCAGAGTTATATATATATATATATATATATATACATACAGTATATAGGCCTATATATATATATAAAACTGAAATAAACTATCGCAAGTATATATAT